ACATTTACATAATTCTCAACTAATTAAACACCTAGGCCCGAGTCACAATTTATGCTGAGATAAAACAGAAGTTATAGAACTGAATCATATTTCAAGTATTCATCTAGACAGCATTTAGTCTGCTTCTAAACATCCCGGAAGCTCTTTCTCAAGTTTTCTCTTTACTTTAGCAATTCAAAGAGCCAACGTTCGGAATATGGGAAAAACTTATTACATTTGAGATTAACTTCAAAATTTCACATTCAACTACCTATATCGATGATGAATAATAACTTCTTCGATTGAATGATAACTTTTAATACTATTACTGATTAAAACGCGATACAATGAACATTTAACTGTATGTAGATCAACAAAATCAGAAGTCCATTTCAAATTTCTATTCTCAAATAATTACCATTGGACTAGCAATTTTGGCCCTCTTAGACTAGTACTTATATTGAGGGTAGATTGAAAAAATTAGTAGCTTCACTATAAGTACACAGTCAATGCCCATGTCAATCTCTGGTGGTCATATTATACGTAGTCATGCTTCCTTTTGAAATGCTTGGTTTACTGCTTTCTAGATTTCTTGGAGAACTTTTCATTATTAGATTCCCTATTGAAGGGACCAACTAGATAACCGCTGCTGAGAATTAGTCATACATGGATTTATCACTTGGTATAATAAAGGGAGGAAAACAAAGTTCCTTGTGTAAGACGTGATCACCCATAGTTTTGTCCCCACGAGCATGTTAGACTAAAGCTGGCTTGTCCATATTGTTTATGCTGGTGATTGACATCATTTGATAGTAGAATAGATTCAAATAAAGTCTGTACATAATAAATCAAAATCTTTACGGACCTAACAATAAATTATAACATAAAATTCCTTGGCAGTCAGCAGATAGAAAATTACCTGAAGAGCTTGAGTTTGCTCTTTATCAGATGTAGGCTGTTTAAATACTGCGGACATACCATCCCGTCGATTGAATATTTCCTGAAGGACAAATTGATAGACCAAACCATCAAAACCATGTGTATCCCAGTAACAGTCAAAGAGAACTGTTTCATTAGCCAAATATGATACTCCATCTTCCGTTTAACCAGTTTGTTTGTTTAAAGATGGATTTTTAAGTGCCAAATTGAACATTTATCCTGCCAAATTGAATGTTCACATAATAACTCCTTCATTTTGTAGCCCCATGGTGAGGTATGTATGTACCCATTATCACAATCGGAAGCACTAGGCAAACAGCACGATTTTGCAATTTCCTTTACAATTTTGGCAAATCGAAATTGCACGTATTTTCAAGTTAACAAACACTAAGCATAAATCCAGAGATGTCACGAAAATTATCACCGGAGCCATCCAACGGCACGTGTCACAGTCTATGCATGTATTATCTGCAACCAAAATTAGTTTTCATCAAGCGTTACATGAAGTCGATTGTCAGGTAGCCGCCAAAAAAATAACGATTATGAAACAAAAATTATATATATGAAAAAAAAAGAAACAATAATTCAACAAGCTATTAGCACAAAATTGAACAGTTAAATGGTCTTGCAACTGAGCTCTGAAAGCATCGGAGGATTTTTAGTGTCAGAAAAATCAACAAAAAGAGAATTGTCTGAAAACAGCTAGCAAATCTGCAGCTATGATTACTAAACTGAAACAGCTAGCGAATAGTGAAGCAGAGTAAAATTCACAAAAGAAGCAAATGAATCTGGAAAAAAACGCACCAACGAAGAAGTTCCCGTCAACATTTTGTGGGCGTCTTAGTCTGTTGCTCTTCGAGTAAGCTTCGGACGAAGCGTTGATACGGAAGGAGGGAGTCAGTCCGGTCACCGCCATGAGAAGACAAGCAGTGGGAGCAAAGAGCCTTGTAGATAGATATAAATGATCGTTTAAACGCCAATTTGATCGTGACACCATCCATCATTTATGAGGGATTAACATGGAACGGGTTTTTCTTTTTTTTTTTGTTGTCTGTCTGCAACCACGTATTCTTGTTACACGGGTCAATTTAAAACTATGACATATACATCAAAAAAAATATAATCATAACTTTGGAAACTAATTTAGATAAATAACTTAATTTTTAAAAAATAAAAAAGTAAAAAATCGATCAACCTTGAAAATGAAATTTAAAATTTGAAAGAAAAAAATCATTTATTTAGCACAACATTTTATATTAATACAAATTAAATTTAAGTATATATATAAAATCAATATTTTAAATTATTTATTAAAATATATAAATTTGTTATTGTATAATTTGTCGAATTATACATAAAACAAAATCAATTAAAAATTTAAAAATTGTAGCACAAAACACAATTATGGGCATAAACAGTCAGGTTCAATCTACATACTCCTTGCCCATTATACAATACAAAGAATTTCTAGTCAGGCGTTCGGTTTGTAAAATCAGATGAGAATAAAATCCAGATCAAAATCATTACATCAAATATCAGACAATCTGTAAAAGCAGAATTAGCAAGCCACCAGATAACAAAAATTCAATTTCAGCCTGGAAAAGAAGAAAAAAAAAATCAAAAACCACCGAGTCGGATCACTAAACCTCAGCACCAAACCACCAATCGATATATGCTTTTGACTTTCGTGGTGGGGATGAGCACTATAAAGTATAAAGAGGATGAGTTGGTTTAGTTGATAGCAGTCAATAACACAAGGAACTCTGTCGGAGGACCCATTTTTTCTTCATATCTCTGATCAGAATCCTGCCATTAACCAGCAGCGCATGTCTTCCACTAATCTCATTATGAGATTGACACTTTGCACTTTGCTCGTAATGAAAACGAGCATCAGCAGCCCGAAAACAAAGCTTCCAAATAGTCATCCACATAAGCTAAGCACGGCCAATGATCCGTTCTAATCCGAACCAGAGTTGAAAATTCACGAACCTCCATTTGGAAAAGAAGATGAAATCTTGGTGGAAGAAATATCAAAATTTGAAAGTAGCCAATATTTTTCTGACTAGTTGGGATTTGATCCCCTCCGTAGTCAAAGTACTTGAGATAAAGTGGCGCTGAGGAAGTAGTCGGTGAACATGTTAATGAATTCGAACTGAAATCCTTCCAGACGGCATCCTTGATCACACCCCCATCTTTCACCATATCCACAAGTGGTTGACCGATAACACAAACAACAAAAGGCGCCAGGTGGCGCTCAACGGCTCGAACCAAGGATGTCAAAGGAATTTCGACAAGTTTGACCGACCGAGTCCCGCTTATTGCAGCAACTCCTTTTCCTCCTTTCAAAACAAAGGTTTCTCTACCTGTGGTAGATGATGTCTCGCAGGCCTCCCATAATGCATTGAATAGGTGCACATAATAACTCGGCAGATCACCCTCTGCTATATCATCTGGGGGAATAACTCTCAAAAACATATCTTCAATCCCCACACAGATATTCTGGAGCTGCCCTTTAATTACCTGACCATTGTCTGCATTAGTTTCAATGAAAATGTCAACCAGACCAGGCACCGGCTCTCGTGGCTCTAATTCTATACATAGAGGAGCTTTGAAATTCTCCTCTTCCACATGACCATTTTTCACAGGAACAATAGCTAACGATGATGAGTCACTTTGGCTCATGGGTTTAACGTTTTTAGAAGGCGAGCCAAGAAGGAAAGGAATATGATATGGCTTAATAAGCCCATATGGAGCGGAGGATGTGAATTTGAGGACTGTAGCGTATAGCCCAGGAAGTTTGTCCAGCACATTACTAACGTCCATTGCAGCCTCTGAATCGAACCTCAGACTACACCAAATCTTGATCTTAATCCCTGGCATATGTCTATGATCAGGAATACATGCAAAATGTCTTCTTAGTTCCTTGACAATTTCTGAAACTTTTGCATCCATAACACGTAGAGGCTCTTTCTGTTGATCACTTGCTGAAATAATACCGCCACTCGTACTAACTTCAGAGTCCCTTTCCTCATCAGCTGGTTCACTGTCCCTGATGCCCTCAAAGAAACCAGGTCTGTGAGGATTGATGTTAAAATTTGGCAGAGACAGGGACCATGACTGGTTTACCAATAAAGGCATCACACGTTCGACATGGATATAAGAAGCGATACTGCTTGTCCTTTTAAGCCCAGATAAAGCTTGAGGAGACTGAAAACTAAAGAATGCACCAGAATGAGTAGATGGGGATATTCCAAGCAGACTTTCCCCCATGTTCAGTATGTCTTTGAGCTTCTGCCCTGGTAAACAAATAAGCATTCGCAGGTAAAATCTGCAATAAACCACCTTCAATGAGATAATGTTTAGTTATGCTGATATGATAAGCAAGGTAAAGCACCCTGGAAACAAACTCATTCAAATTTTCTCCATTTAGAAAAATGCTTTAAAACATTTTTAACTTTATCTTGAAGTTCTTAATTGAATAAGTATGTACATAAAATCTATGAAATATAAAGGGGTAGGGATCGGTATTCTAATGCTCACCTTGCATTGTCTCGGACCTCCAGATCAGGAAAATACAGACTAGCAGATGCAAGAAGATGAGATAGCACAGTAAATAAACTAGAGCTATGGTGGTGAATCAACATTGTTCGGCAAATACCAAGAGTTTTACTGCCATAATGCCATGATTTTAACCCTGTATCAGGGCCATGTTCATCCACAAGAAAGATTATGAATCTCATGAGGAGGTTTATCAGCCGAATGGGGGAAACTTTATCACTTTCAGAAATCCTCTCAAACAAGGGGAAGTAATGACCTAGGCTGTAGTCTTTTTTGAGGTTTGGAAGCAGATGCTTATCAAGGGTATTAAGAAGATGATCACCTAACCAGTGGTGTTTATCACACCCCAACAACCGATCAATGCATGCAATAATTACTGGAACTAATCCCCTGTACGCCAATGTTGAGTCTACCAGCATATTCTGCACATTAAAATGTAAAGAGACTTTACTGCAGACTCGTGACACTAACTATAAGCAGAGCACTCACAAATAACATCAACTATACTTTTTACATGTATGGAGATTGTACATGATTTCATTCTGCTTCAATGTTTAGAAAGCTATGGAAACATGCAAAAGATCCAGAACCATTTAAAAATTCACTACAACCACAAAGAAGCATTTTATAGTGTTAATTTTTAAGAACTTCTATATAGAGGCTAATGTTAAAATTCAGGAGTCCGAAATGAAATTAGTGAGCACTATCATCTTAATCTTAACCTGTCATTCTTCAGTGGAGAAAGAAAATCAAAATAAGAAACCATCCAATAACAACCACAAAAGAGTCTGTAAGCCAATTTTCTCCTAGAGAGTTTCTTTCTTTTCTTTTTTCCTCTCCTTTTCTTTTCTTTTTTGCTTTATTTCATTCCATAAGACAAACTTTGACGCTCCAAAAGTCCAATTAGAAACATTTTGTACACTAACACCACCTCCATTGAAAGTAATGCTAAAAGGTTGGTCATACACTATCAGTTAAGTAGAGATGAAACCAATTTACATTTCAGTGAAGAGGGTCTTATCTAGGTAAATTTCAAATATAAAATGAGAGAAGTGGGATAGGAGCATTACACATATATCTATGAATTAAATATGTGAGGAGTCATAATAACAAGAAGAATTTGCAAAAGAAATGATGAAACCAAAAGAATGGAAGGAAAAACATAGGAAAAAAGCATAGGGAGAACACAAAACGGTGAGAGAGAGACAGAGGACAGTTATGTCAACATGGTAGAAAGATTACAAGGAGAAGGGAAGTAAAGATAGGAAAAGATAACCACACATAATTATCAGCTGATCCAGCCTTTGACCAGGGTTTATAAGCCGACTTACATTCAATTGACAGACATGACTTATTTTTCCATACTATTGTCTGCTCTTTAGTCTATCGACTTATTTAGTTCACTTTCTGCTTATCGTTGTTGTGTATGGCTGAAAGGGAACACAATGCGTTGAATCAAACCAGAGATCTTGGCTCAGAATTTTTCATTTTGGAAACCAATGTTCACGGAATGCATGCAAATAAGAGGTGGAAATCATTGAGGTCATGACTTTCATAACAGAAAGACTGTCATAATCATTTGAACATCGCTTAATCGAGGGCATTTCAATAGTATAGACCCAGCTAAAAGATGAAAAAACACAAATAAAATTAACTACCAATCAGAAAATTAATCAACCCAACTTAGAAATCCAAAGGATTGTAAAAGATGATAAGAAGAAAAAACAAATATATTCCAGATGTATATGCATACCTGTAACGTGTAAAAGATGTTAGACTCGATGAGAGAAGCAACCGGAGAAGAAGTAGCATCATTGTGTGGTGAACCACCAATCAGAAACTTATGGAAGGAACGAAATGCCACTGCAGTTTCGGTGCTCCATGGAGGCAGCCATTTGAAAGCCGATACAGAAACAAGGCCATCTTCAAATAGCTTTACTTCATACACCTCGTTATTATTCAACATTACACCATTGGCAGCTCCAGAATTTCTAGAGATTAAACTAGAGCAGTATGCGAGCAGGTCAAGCTTCAAGGCTTTAATAGCTAGAGGATCAAAAATCATAGGATAAAAGCTTGAACTCATATCAAGGATGCTTCTCTTTCTCGCCGCGTCCACACCCACTATCAAACTGAAGAAACCCAACATCCAGTGAAGTCCCAATAACCTAAAAGCCAAATGGTGTTGGGGTTCTTTGGACAGTAACAATACTCGAGAAGCAACCTCAAATTCTTGTCCACGGAAAGAATCCAAAAACTTGAGATGCATTCCCAAAAAGACATGGCAAAGCAACGGGTGGAAAGTGTGGGGAAGCCACGAGAATTGTACCCTCAGCAAGGAAGACTGAAGCTCAAGCTCTTGAGCTACAGGAAGTATAGCAACCATAAACTCCACCAATCCAAAGGGAGTTAAGTACTGGGGGCACTCGAACAAAAAGGAGACCACTCTCCTCAGCTCTTTGTAGTGAACCTCTCTCTCCTTCCACACAAAATCCCCAAGAACCAAAGATTGCAAAGGGGTATTGAAAGGAAGCAGAGGAATTGTAGCATTGGTAATAGAGAAGTCGCCATTACTGTTATTGCTTGAAATAGGCTTGAGCTGGACCAAATTGTGAATGGCTGTGGACAATAAGAGAACATACCACTGGGAAACGTGGGTACGCTCGCTTTGACACAAAGACCACAGGTGAGGAGTAATTTCGGAGAGCAGACAAGGGAAAGCGAGCTCCAGCTGACGCAAGCACTCGCACGCGACGCCTCGCGTGTGGCGATCCAGGCCGTGATTGGGACGGTTGATAACAGTCAACAATAGCTCAACCACATGAATCAAAGAGTGAGAGCCTGCGATTTCGTCATTATCCAATAGGAAGGCGATGACGAGGGAGGTGGTCGACACGAGGAACTGGTCCTTGAGAGGGAACGGGTCATTTGGGGACTGAATGACCAAGCGGAGGGCGTCGATGAGGGAGGAGAGAGAAGAGGATGACCACCAGCTGCAAGATTGCTCAAGCGAGTGATGTTCCAGGAAAGTTAGGAGATTGAGTTTGAGTTGGAGGGTGAAATCTTTGCGGACCAGGGAGGAGATGCACAGGTCGATTAAGGAGCCGCCGCCAGACCAGCGATGAAGAGCAGCGCCGCCGCCGAGGTTGTAATCGTCGATCAGCGTCTCCCAATCCGTCGGAGATAGGGGCTTCGGGACTGCTGCGGCCATTGTTGTGTATTCTAAGCCAGAACACACGATCGTTCTCCCATTTTATTATTCGCCGACCATTTTCAGTTCGAAGAGCTGTTAACGAGTCGTTCGTTGGTTCGATCTCGTTAAGGTTCGAGCTCCATTCGACTCGCTTCAATGAAGTTCGAAAATATCAAAAAAAAAAATAAGTAAATAAAGTTCGAAAATATGATTCTTATATATTTTGCGATAGTTCAGTTCGATTTTGGCTTAAGACTCGATAATATTGATAAAAAATGACCCGAGTTCGAATTAAGCTTTCACGAGTCGAGTTTGGCTCATCAAGGGTTCGAGCTCGACTGTACTCGTTTACACCCCTAATTAGCAGTAAGTATTAAATTACTAAATGACATTTATAAATAAAATTTTATATTTATGGATCATTCAAAGTAATAATTGGATAAATTGGCATATTACAATTTATAACTTTGATATCTAATAAAAATTAATATTTAAGTTATAAACTACTTAAGTACGCGTGAATTATTATATTAATTGTAGATACAATTTCTGAAAGTGATTTACACAAAGAGTGGAGAGGATCGATCCAATTATTTTTGGCTCTAATATCTTTTGTGTTCTTAGGGCATACATCTATTTGAAAGTTATAATCATCTAATATGTGGGTTCGTATGTTAAATTAACTACATTAGTACAGAGCTCGTGCGATGCACGAGGTGCACAATTTTAATGCTATTTATCTAGGCTTATAATTATATACATGAATAAAGAAAAATGTACGGGATATATATAGTACGTGACCCGTGCGAAGCACGAGATATATTTATTTAGAGAATATTATATTATAAAATGCAATATTCAATAAAAGTTTATAATACGCAAGAAAATTGTACAATGTTCAATAAAAGTTTTATAATATTCAAGTGGAGTCTTAAAGTCTCTTGTGCATTAAGACTACTAACAAAATAATATTTTAATCAATGAGTTTCCTTTCCTTGTAGCCAAATTGTGAATGTGATTTGAGGAGTACAACAAATCGATATATAGTTGACTTGCTTTTTTCATTGTAGTTTTTTTTTCTTTTGTTTTTTATAATGAATATAAAGATATTCTAAAATATAGCAAAAATTAATTTTTTTTTATTACAATTAGAAATTTTACTAAATATAGACTCTCAATCTATAGTGTTAATCAACGTTTAAGTCTAAAAAATTAGGAATTTTTACCTTTTTTAATCAACGTTTAAGTCTAAAAAATAATAGAGTTATTATAAGTTTTTTTCCTCTTCTTTTACAACATTAAATATGAGCATGTTAGGGCTAACTTTTAAAATAATTACTATATTATCTCACTAAAACATTTATACTAATAAAATTTTAATTTTAGCATATAAATTTATCCATTGATATAAGAGAAAGTAACAGTTTTACTTATTGTTGTTCACCATATAATATTTAACTATTATTTTATTATATAATAAAAAAGAAATATTGTTAAATAGTGTAGTAGAATTGTTATAAAATTATATGATTTTTTTTTTTACAATATGGATTTAATATTTTTTTATGATTTGATAATATAAACAAATCTATACTTAACTTTGACAAATAAAACAAATAAATACTTTAGTAAGTATTTAATGTATATACTAAATAGGAATATAGTGTACATTTTTATTTGGTATTTGATTTTTTTATTAATAAAATCTTTTTATTATATTTACCTTTTTAAAATAAAACAAATAAATAAATTAATTAAATAAATAAAATATTATAATACCAAAATAGTAATGACATTTAATGCAGTTGACTTTTCTGGATAGTAAATGTACTAAATAGAATCTCCTTTTATATAAGTATAGATATGATATTATATTATATTGCTCAAAATAGTAATGCATTTATTGCATTGACTTGTCAACTTACTAAATTTCATAAATGGTACACCATTATATAAGTATAGACTCCTAATCATTCGAGGCCTCGAAGAATAATAGGTAGATCATCCGCAAACATCAAGAAATGTACCGAAACTGTCCCTCTCCCAACTGAGATTGGATGCCACCTTAGTTCCTCAACCTCCTTGCAAATAAATTGCGTCAATCTCTCCATACACATAACTACTAAATAATGGAAAATAAGATCACCCTAACGGACCCCCTCTTGAAATTCATGACCAATGGACAAGAGATTTTATATTTTTTAATATATGTATTTTTGACAAATCTATATCTATATATATATAATTGTTGGGTAATAGCATTTAATAAAACATTTAATAAAACCTCATTTCGATTTCCCTCCAAAAACCGTTACAAACTTTATCATTTATCTCTCTCTCTCTCTATATTTAACTAGTAGTCACCCGTGCGATGCACGGGGATATTATTATCTAGAATGTTTTTAAAAAATAATTTTGTATATAAATTGTGTTATGCAGGCAATGATCATGATCATAATAATAGACATATAAACATATCATTAAATTGAAAAAATCATATATTATTGAACACTTCTCTATATACAACATTATTGGTTTGATTCTTTGGCACGTCATCTTCGCCACAAATTAAGATTTTCAAACCTTTTCGGTTAGTGACACGGGAAACAACAACATATAACTGGCCATGACTGAACACTGGTTTCTTAAGAAATAAGCCAACATGAGATAAGGATTGTCCCTGGCTCTTGTTTATAGTCATGGCGTAAGAAACCATAATGGGAAATTGTCGCCGCTGGAACTTGAAAGATATTCTAACATCAGAAGGAGTTATGGTCATTCTTGGAATCAACACCTTAACACCAGCATGATCTCCTGTGACTATCTTACACTCAAGAACGTGAGTCGATAGCTTTGTCACTACCAATCGTGTCCCATTACACAAACCAATAGAATGATCCATGTTCCGCAACAACATGATTGGAGTTCCAATCTTCAAATACAACTCATGGTTCGGTATTCCGGAACACTTGATGCTATTCAAAAACTCAGGCGTATGGAGATCAGACAAAAAATTATTATTAGAATCCGATTTGCACGTACTGTCAGAGCTCAAGTACATACGTCCATCCAACAAATTCAATGATGTCATGTACTGATTGATAGACTCGACCACATCCAACGTCGGCGCTAATATAGCCCTATCCTTCAAATAACTTGGATTGTCGGGTGCCTCTTTATACATTGGATATGTGCTTTCAACTATTCGAGCAATAGGATCATCAGATGACTAAAGCAAAATGTCCTCGGGTATGTCTATAGGTGCACATCCATCATTCAACCCTCCGATAGTTCCATCTCCGATGTTGGCTATCCAATCTGCAAACCGTGCAAGCTCATCACGTTCATCCGAATTAGCAAGTCCCTGAAAGCGCATTTTTTCGTAAGTCTAAGCACAGTACAACTCCTCCATATGTCAGAAGAATAAATGGCAGCATTGACTATGTCCTGACGGCTACCCTTTAGAATGACAGGAAGGATTTGTCGAAAATCTCCACAAAAAACAACCGGTTTCCCACCAAATGGTTTGTTCAAGTTCAAAAGATCAATTGCTCCCATAATACCCTGCAGCGATATCTATACAACTTCGAAACAACGCTTGTGCATCATTGGTGCTTCATCCCATATTATTAGAGAAGCACGAATTATCAATGGTGGATCTATACATTCTGATATTACTCTCGACTTGATAGTTTCGAAATGCATAGACAGCTCCTTCTTCGAATTCATTGATGAAAGTTGGGATGTTGATTGCTTTACTATTCCAGTAATTCGACCTCCCTAAAAAAAAAAGAAAAATAATATTAGATATTAAATATTATAATTAACATGATGAGAAAAATGGATAATCGTTATTTTTTATTATGAACTAAACCTTAATGTCATGAAAGACAATTTCAAGGATGTTCTTGTAAGATGAGTATTAATTAGTCCTTTGGAAAACTCGAACCACCCTCAACTTGAGCATTGGCCTGTTGATCCTTGTTACTTGCTTGATGTGTCCCCATGCTCTCGCCATTTTTCTGTTCGTATGTGAAATTGTAGTGTGAGATTTTTGTGATACGTGATAGGCTCCGACGTTTATTTTATAGCCATGGGATGAAAGTAGATAACCATTAGATGATAAGGTTAGTTAGACTCACGTTAATCTCTCTTGATAAGATTCATTGCACGTGATTTTAATTTCAGAGTTCCAATAAATTCAAACTCTAATATCACGATAAGATTAGTAAAACGTGATTTGTCAGATTGTTAACTCTAGATCTATCCACCGTAGGACTATGCATTTGTTATGTTTTTTAAATGAATGACATTGAATTCAAATGGAATATATTTCGGTCAATCCAAACACAAATGATTATCACGTTGGTATGGACCGAAATTTTTATGATGATAAGATAAGTGGAAAGTAGTTAAGAAGTGGAGATTTTTGTGTGATAGCATCATTACATAATTACCATCACCATCAATCTTTCCATTAAATTTCGGTCCATACCAACATGATAAAAAAAATTTCTTGAAAATTTTTTTACGTCAAACAAATATTATAATTACGTCAAAAATTTTGTACGTCAAAATTTTAATTCAAACAAATCTTCCATCTTTTTACGTCAAGATTTTAATAATAATAATTTATATATAACACAAATTAAAATAAATATTATAATCAAATTCATATTTATGAATATAATTAATTATGATAAATTATTGGAAAATCACGCAATATAATCCATTAAATGTACTTGATTTAGTTATTGTTAATTTAGTAAATTTTTTTCTTCAAATAAAAAATACACCAATTTTGAATTCAAATGGAATTCAAAGAGTGATACTCGATCAATAAAAACCTAAAACAATTTTGAAATCAAATTGTAATTTTCAACCTTATCATGTATGATGATAAGATAAGTGCAAAGTAGTTAAGAAGTGGAGATTTTTGTGTGATAGCATCGTTACATAATTAACATCTTTCCATTAAATTTCGGTACATACCAATGTGATACAAAAAAACGTTGAAAAAATTTTTACGTCAAAATTTTACGTCAAACAAATATTATAATATTTTACGTCAAAATTTTACGTCAATCAAATCTTTCCATCTTTTTACATAAAAATTTTAATAATAATAATTTATATATAACACAAATTAATATAAATATTATAATCAAAATTCATATTCATATTTATGAATATAATTCATTATGATAAATTATTGAAAAATCACGCAATATAATCTATTAAATGTACTTAATTCAGTTATTGTTAATTCTGTAAAATAAATTTAATATAATCTTATATTCGAAATATTTGTTAAAATTTGTATTAATTATATCTTGTATCATGGATTTCTACCAATTTTAAACTAATATACAGTAGAACTCAAGATTAAAATGTTCAAATTTTCACATTCATGCGACATTTAATAAAAAAAAATATTCAACGACATTTTATAATGATAACAAATATAATAACACTAAAATTTATTATAGAATTCGGAATTCAACGACATGGAATGAAATTAAAATTCATAATAATCAAACTCTAAATATCATAAATATCTTCTGCTCCTTGCTAATGTTGAGGGAAAATATCAACATTTTGAGGGAAAATCCCACCATATTTGATAACATGAGTTCTTCCATAAATTTATAAATATGAATTAAAATATTTTTTAAAATTACATAAATTTGATATTACAAATACAAATATTTACGTGTTCATCATGAAACAGTATATGGAATGCGTTCCAGCTCTTCCGTTGGTGATGCGTTTCAACTATTAGGACTGCTTTCAAGTGCCAAAAAAGTTGTTTCTCCTACTCACGAAATCGAGTGTATCTCAGACTGGCGGCATTTATTACCAATGTGTTCTGAAATTTATCTTTTTTTTTCTCTATAAAATTTATCTCGGTTTTTATTTTTTTTTTTTTTTTTTTTTTTTCTGTGAACTGTGAATGACGTGAACTTTTTTTTTCTTTTCCTTAAACTGTAAATGACGTGAATTGTTGAGTAGTGGTAGTGCATATGATTTTATACCAAACAACCGTTTTTGAACTAAAGATTCGCATAATTATGTAATAATAATTATGGATCCAATTGTGACTTATCCACATATCTCTATAGTATCTCTAATCAATTAATTTTTGTATTAATCATGTAATGATAATTATGGATCCAATTGTGACTTATCCACAATCCCAATACTCTAATAATGATTATGGATCCAATTGTGACTTATCCACATATCCCTATAATATCTCTAATCAATTAATTTTTGAATTAATCATGTAATGATAATTATGGATCCAATTGTGACTTATCCACAATCCCAATAATATCTCTAATAAACAAATTTTTGAATTGAAGTATGACTTTTTTAAAATTTCGTGTATTATAAATGCAGTAAATATGGTTTCTATATTTAGATTGTCAAAGTTTTTTTTTTTGGTCAAAAGTTTCTAAAAATGTATTTTAACAACAACCTATTTATATATATATAGATTACTAACAATAAATTTAATAATATTAATTATTTTTTACCATCTTTTTATGTTATAATCTTCTATTATTATTATTATTATTATTATTATTCCACCATATCTAATTAATGCTAAAATATTTCATTGCACTTTTTTAGGGTTAATTAAGACAAAAACCATTACATTTTATATTAACGGAGTAATAATTCTACTATTTTATTATATCATATAATAGTTATTATTAAAACTAATAACTATAGTTTACACTAAATGATATATGAAAGTTACATAAACATAAAAAATTATTGTAAACTTTTTGCTAAATTTATTTATTCTAAAACTAATATTATATTTTTTTTTTATCTTATTTAGCGATTGTATTCTTAAATAAGTTAATTTATTTTAATGTTATAGTAAAATTTCTTAAAATCGCATAATCAAATGTTATAATAAATTTAATATTTTTAAGCTAGTAAATTGGCGATCTCTCAAAATTACATTATTTATTATATTCTATGTAATTAATATAGTGGTTCATACATAAATATAATTTATAATACTCTATGTTTAAAAATAATATCATTGTATAACCTATAATTTTAATACTATATGCATAAATGTAACTTATAATATTCTATTTACACTGTGCAAATGCACATGGTCGAATACTAATTTTTTTATAAACAATATATGTTCAAGTAATATGTATGTTAGCTAAATTCTCATAAGTAAACTTTGTCATTTAATAATAAGTAAAATTTCATTGTGTAACTAATTTCTCAAAGGTTATATACAATTTCAGAATTTCTCTTTCCTTTAAGTAAAGTTTGATAATTCATCTTGAAAATTGAATTGTGAAAAATAAATTTAATTGTGAAAGCAACTCTAGTTCACAAGTAATTTTCTGCAGCCCAAATTAAGACAAGCCGAAGCCCAAAACATTTTCCATAGCCCAAATTTAAACCAACAAAAGCCCAGATGAAAAGATCTTCTATAACGCCGAGGACGGTTCTGGAGAGAGAGATATATCGTAGGATCCCTAATTTAACTCAACTTCCCATTCCTCGCTGCCATTTTTTCTTCCGAATTGAATTTGATTTTGGTGTGAGAATGAAGAGGGCCGCGGATGAGTTGGTGGACGGCGGATCAAAGAAGCCGGTCTTCCTCACCAAAGAGGAGCGCCAAAATCTCGCCCTCCAACGGCGCCAGGAAGAAGCCACTGCTCAGCAGAAACGCCGCGCCGAGATGCTTCTCCAACAACAAACCCCCGCCGCTAACAACAGTCACTCGCACGACACCGATCGCAGGGCCCGCGACCGCGATTCAGAGCGCCGGAACCGTGACAGAGAACGCGAGGACGAACACAAGGCCCGGGAGCGTGCTCGCCTGGAGAAATTAGCTGAGAGGGAACGCGAGATTGAGCTTACCGCGATAAAGGAACAGTATCTGGGGTCTAAGAAGCCGAAGAAGAGGGTGATTAAGCCGAGCGAGAAGTTCCGATTCTCGTTTGACTGGGAGAACACCGAGGACACCTCCCGCGATATGAACTCCTTGTACCAGAACCCCCACGAGGCGAGGCTCCTCTTTGGCCGCGGGTTTCGGGCCGGGATGGACCGCAGGGAGCAGAAGAAGCTTGCCGCCAAGAACGAGAAGGACCTGAGGGACGAGATCCGCAAGAAGGAAGGCGTGGAGGAAACTCGCGAGGAAGCCGCTGCTCAGAAGAAGAAAGAGCAAGCGGCCGACTCGTACGACACCTTTGACATGAGGGTGGATCGACACTGGTCGGACAAGAAGCTGGAGGAGATGACCGAGAGGGATTGGAGGATTTTCAGGGAAGATTTCAACATCTCTTACAAGGGCTCTAGGATCCCTCGTCCCATGAGGAACTGGGCTGAAAGCAAGTTGAGCGCTGAGTTGCTGAGGGCGGTGGAGAGGGCAGGATACAAGTCTCCTTCCCCGATTCAGATGGCCGCCATTCCTCTTGGCCTTCAGCAGCGGGACGTGATTGGCATTGCGGAGACTGGATCAGGTAAAACTGCCGCCTTTGTTCTTCCTATGCTGACTTACATAACTAGACTGCCCCCTATAAGCGAGGAGAACGAAGCCGAGGGGCCCTACGCAGTTGTGATGGCACCGACCAGAGAGCTTGCTCAGCAGATTGAGGACGAGACCACCAAATTCGCTCACTACATGGGGATCAAAGTGGTTTCTATTGTTGGTGGGCAGTCCATAGAGGAACAAGGGTTTAAGATTAGGCAGGGATGTGAGGTTGTGATTGCCACGCCCGGGCGTCTTCTGGATTGCCTGGAGAGAAGATATGTTGTTCTGAACCAGTGTAATTATGTTGTTCTTGACGAGGCTGATCGCATGATCGACATGGGTTTCGAACCCCAAGTGGTTGGTGTATTAGATGCGATGCCTTCGAGTAATATGAAGCCGGAAAATGAGGATGAGGAGCTCGATGAGAGGAGGATATACAGAACAACTTACATGTTTAGTGCTACCATGCCACCTGCCGTGGAGCGGCTCGCAAGGAAGTACTTGAGGAATCCAGTTGTGGTCAATATCGGCACTGCAGGGAAGGCAACTGATCTCATCAGCCAACACGTGATTATGATGCGGGAGAATGACAAAATGGATAGGTTGAAGATACTGTTGGACGAGCTCGGTGACAAGACAGCTATCGTGTTTGTTAACACAAAGAAAGTTGCTGATAATGTTGCAAAAACTTTGGATAAAGAGGGTTACAGGGTAACCACACTGCACGGTGGGAAGTCACAGGAGCAAAGAGAAATCAGCCTCGAAGGTTTTAGGACTAAGAGATACAATGTACTGGTTGCAACAGATGTAGCTGGACGTGGTATCGATATACCTGATGTGGCACATGTGATAAACCATGACATGCCCAACAGTATTGAAGCATATACTCACCGTATTGGAAGAACGGGTCGTGCTGGGAAGACTGGTGTAGCTACAACATTTTTGACTCTGCATGACACTGAAGTCTTTTATGATCTCAAGCAAATGCTGATTCAGAGCAATAGTCCTGTCCCTCCAGAGCTTGCCAGGCATGAGGCCTCCAAGTTTAAACCCGGCTCCATTCCTGATAGACCTCCCAGACGAAATGACACTGTGTATGCACATTGATGATACTGCACAAGTTGCATTTGATTAATGGTCCCTGTGAAGAAGGAGATTCTGGTATTAGCAATGGAACTTCCCATCAGGCATGCAAGCAAAGCATCTTGGATGTGTAGGAATCTGCTTATTACTTTTTCTTGTGCTTGATAAAACTATTTTACTTTCCAAACTCTTTTTTATCTGTCTTGTGGTTGATTTATTTCTATTTATATGTCATCTATAGGATGTTTATCTGAACCCACCACTTCGATTTGCAATGATGATTTTCAATTTATGAGGCGATGTCTATATTATTATTTATTCTCCCAAAATTGTTTTACTTGACTGTACTTTCATTCAGAATTGTATGCAGATCATCATTTTAATGTGTTGTTCATTGAAATACCATTTTCTTGGCTGAACATTCTCAGGTCTCTCATAATCATTCACCCCGATTCTTTAGTACAACTTTAAGCTATCGAGATTGCTGGTAATTACCAGGGAGCCTGCTGTGTTTTGAGGATTCTTTTTTNATCATGGATATGATTGAATTTCAGAAATTATTTTGGCTTTTTTTTTTTCAAACGGCATAAACATACTCATTAAAAAAGTCCAAAAGGTAATGTACACAAGCGAGCTCGAAGCTAGCCGGGAAATTGGGAGGTTACACCCATAACTAATGCAACCTAGACGGAATACCAAGTAGCAAAGCTAGAAAGACCAACACACTACGAAACCAAACCAAAACTAGAAACACAACGAAACAATACATAAAAGACTCCAATAGGGTAATGCCTGAGTGTAAGCTCCCAACAGGAGAATAAAGGCTACACTCAGGCTAAACCGGGGCGAAGGCCCAAACCAAAAACATATAAACCACACCAACATAAACACAACGATCACACAACAAAGAAAAATAATAGCATAAACAACAATAAACAAAACGGAGCCCTTCCTTAGCGAACTGAACTAAGCTCAACCAGCAGTTTTGAGGATTCATATGCTGAGATGTTTTGAATTGTATCAGAAGATTGTACATGATAGAACAATAGTTAAGGGCTCTCTTGTTTATCAAATAATTCATTCAAAATGAGTTATTTTGGTTAATCATAGTTAATTTTAAAAAATGTGATATGATTAGTTAGTGGAATTTTAAGAATATATTAAAATAATATTTAAAATAGAATAATTAAATTGATTTGATATAGAAATAAGAGAAAAATGATTAGAAATGATAGGTAGTTAAAATTATGTGAGTTGATGAATAGTGAATTAAAATTTGTGATGTGTAAGAATGTTTGGTTTGTATTATTTGATTATATGAATAATATAAGGATAGTGGAATTGAGATAGAGTTGAGTTAGATTTTGAGTATGAAATAAATGTAAGAATATTAATTTGTAAACAAGTAATTCACTTCTCGTCTGCTGGTATGTTGGGGGAACCATTTGAGGTTATAATGATTATGGTGAAATGAAGCTTGTGTTGGGCCTGGGTAAGTGGGTAAATGGTCCTTCTCAATACTTATTAACTAGGTTGAGCAGTGCTGTGTTTGCGTATGCATATAAATAAACTACTTGCTAGTAAGTGGGTATATGGTCCTTCTCAATATTATGTACTTGTAGCATTGTTTTATAAATAAACTACTTGCTAGTAAGAAATTTGAACAACATTAAAAGCAACATCTTGAAAACAATTATTTTCATACTAAAAAATATTAATGTTATAAAAAGTAGCAAAGCCATAATTAATATACCGTGACAATTACTTTTTCATTTTTTTATAATCACTAATAGAATGCTTGGATATACAAAATTGTTGTTTTAAGTGGATTTTTGGTTTGGGTTGGTTAAATTTGAAAAAGTTAGTATGATTAGTTGTTAGTGGGTATATTAAAATAATATTTAAAATAAAATGATTAAATATAAATTGATGTTAAAGGAGGAGAAATAAAATGTGATGTGATGATTAGTAAAAATTATGTGAGTTGATGGATAGTGAATTAAGGTTGATGTTGTGTGTAAGAATGATTGATTGATATTATTTAATTATATTGATAATATTGATGATAGTGGATTTGAGTTACAAAAAGTTATTGAGTTAAAAAATGATTAGATTTTTTGGGTTGAATTTGTATCCAAGTATGCTCTAAATTAAATCAATTGGGCTATATTTGGTAAAACTAGTTGTTAAGCTCACCTATAGCTTTATGTTTGGTAAAACTAGCTGATCGCCTATAGTTTATAAGTGATTTTTTAGTTTATAGTTTATGACTTATAGTTGAAAAGTTAGTTCATATGAGAAAAGTATTTCGTAAAAGCTAGTCGAAATCATAATTTCAACAAGCTTATTTAGAAAGTACCCAAATAATCTTTTGAGATAAACTCGAGTTTAATACAAAACTTGTCCTACCAAACTAAACTTATTTGAATACAAAAAACTTATAAGCTAACTAAATAAGTTATAAGCTATATTATTTAATTACCAACCTTATTTTGTACTTTATTTTTTACCGAGTACCGAATCAAAGGATTCATTCCCCGGGTTGATCTCACGAGGAAGGCGGTTCGGAATTTAGCTTTGGTATCGATCACATAAAAAAAAAAAAAATCCTAAACACTCTAATCAAATAGGGGTTTTGATTATTAACTAAGAAAGAAAAAGCAATAATCTACTTAAGAATAAAAAAGGGGAACAAAGATGGAGAAGCTAGGGAATCAGGGATAATATTCAAGTTCTTAGCAAAACCGGGCAATCAATTGTTCGGTTCGAGATTGACATTCTCGCTTAAACATCTAGCGGTTTGCTTCCAATAACTCTTCGTAAGAAAGGATTGAAAATAGACGAACAAGCTCGAGCATACAACACAGGCCAATTATCCCAATCCCAATAACTTTTCGTAACAAGGGACGGGTCATCGACAAGCACGTATTTCAATCTCAACCCATAGATTCTTCAGTTACGAAATTATCTATCTCATGCAAGCCTAGGCCTACGACTTCTCTCCTTTCGGTTCAAAAAGTCGCTAATTTAATTAGAAGGTGTTTAATCAACTAATCATTGGAATCAACAAAACCAAACTCGACAACTCAATATCGAATTGTTACCAACTGCAAGATTGAGTGTCACCCTTCGATTACATCAAACTATCAAGCACTACTTCATCAATTCCTAATCAATTCAACTCACATAAGTATAAACAAATCAAGCCCGACAAATGCACGTTAAACAAGAACAATCATCCCCTATCCTTAGCAATCAGATTTAGCTACGAATATCAAATTCAACAATCATAATCATTCCTCTCAAATAACCATTATTCATGAATCAAATAAGAGAAAAGAATACTTACAATCAATCCAAGTTCCAAAGTTGAATTCGAAATACAAGCTTAATCGTAAAGAAGGAGAAGAAGAATGAAAGAAAACGATGAAAGAAAGGTGAAAAAATGAAGAAGAATGAGAAGAGAAGGAGAAAGAGAGAGTTCGTGAGTTTCTCGAGACCTAGGGTTTTCACCCGCCGAGAGACGTTTTTCTGTGAAAGTCGCGTCCAATATTTATATCAATAGCAGGTCACGGCTTGAGAAATAATGGCGCGACGTGAAGGATGTTGGTGCACGGCGTGAAGCAACCTGGTGATGCAGCGATGCACCCCGCGGCGTGAGAAGAGCGGGCACTGCGGCGCGAGAGATGATGGTGCCGCGGCACGTCATAGTTTCACGGCGCGAAGGTACGGGTTGCTGGCTCTCTGTTGGGGTCGCGGCACGCGGCGCGGCGCCGGAGTTGCGCGACAGTCTGGTGAGCTGCTGGCTTCCGTGCACGTCTTCACGTCTCGGGCCCGTTTGAACTTATTTGGCCTCGGAATTTGATTCCGTTTTTTCCTGTGTGATGCCAACGAAACGCTCTATATAGTCACGTTCACCGGTCCATTTATCATAGAAAATAAATCCTCCTGAATCTTCCAACTTGCACACCAAGGACGAAGAAAAATCGGAAAAATATACAGAAGCACAAGAAAAACCAAGATAGAGGAAAACACGCGATAAACTACAAAACGAGATAAAAACTAACTAAAAGACCTAATATGAGAGAAAAAGAAAGGAAAAATAACAATGAAAAACGCAACAAAAATAGGACAAACACTTGTCGAACAACCTTGTGCTACATTCCCAAATCTCATAATTTGTGCCACAAATTTTGTTTTCAGGCAATCTAATTATTAGGATCCAACCATCATTTTTTAAGTGCAATGTGAAATATATATTTAAATTATAAAATATTATATATATCTCATCTATATATAATTTCAGAATGTGCTGAGCCTACCTGGCAAACTCTCATGCTTCGGAATCCTATTTGGCAAAAAACTATGCTTTGGAGTTAGGCTTGAATATAAATTAATATTTTTTATCACACTAAATCCATGATTGACTTTTTCTTCTTTACTTCTACAATTAGTTACCATAAACTTTTTTATGTTTCATTTTCCTACATTACCATACATCACATTTCATTTTCTTATATAACTCATTCATTATAGTTTTTACAAATGTTTCTTCTTCTTATTTTAAGATTTTATAACTTTTTTGTTTGTATTTTATTTTTCATATATGATATATCAAATTAGCTATCTTTTAACGATTTTCGATTTGACATCCATATTACATATATAAAATACAAAACAGTAATATATATCCATATAAATAAAATTTAAATTTATTTATCAAACTAAATTAAATTATATCAAATAAAACTATAAATTATATTATAAAGTAATAGGAACTGGTATGTATTTTTTCAAAAATGATATTTATTTCTGATATAGTCATATAAAGATAACCCGGTCTAAGAGGCTTCCCACTCGACCGGTGAGCCATTTAAACGACTCGCATATCGAGGTAACTCGCTGAAGTCGACTTCTCTGAAGTCGACTCTACCGAAAACAGCCAACAAGAGGCAGAAAACGGCCTAGTCGACTCCTGTAAGTCGACCTCTAACTATCGACTTTTGCTAGTCGACCTCATACTAGAAGGACATCAAGAATGCAACTCCCAACCATCTGGGTACTCTAAGTCGACTCCCGCCAGTCGACTTTCTCATGACGACTCTCTAAGAGACGACCACCGCAAGGAGTTAAACCAGGTGCAGCCTCTGGAACCATATATATTTGTAAGTCGACCTCCCCATGCTCGAGGACGACTCTGTACATCTCGAATATCAAAGTGGCGAAGACGATTCACCACACTTGCCAACATATCCAAAGCTCCACATACTATCAAAGATAAGAAGGAATCTTATGATGACTCAGCAACAAAG